AGGCTATCAGCACACAGTTGTTGACAGTGTGGGTAGCTGTAGCGAGAACAGAAGTGAAGCAGCACAGAATGGAAATACAGTCGACTCTCGATGACTCGAACCTTCAAGGGAAATCGAAAAAAGGTTCGAGTTATCGGAATCCGAAGAAAATAGGCGAGAGTAACTGTAAAAAACAGTTTTTACTGCACAGTGAACATTTTAATCACATTTAATTGAAGAAATATCAAGTGAAAATTAAAAGGTACTTCTAGATTATAAATCAGAACGTAACGTAACAAAAGATAGCCTAAATAGAGCATGCGTTTTACTGTTTTGAGAAGAAAAGCTACTTCAGGTTAGCCTGTGACAATCAACATCAGCTTCCACTAGTAAACTATACTCCTACAACACGTCAATAGGAAATCCAAAATTCAATGTTTTGAACGCCAGTTTAAGACTTTTTTCCCGACTTTTTAAGGGTTCAAAACATGGTTCGAGTTATCGAGGGTAAAATGATATAGAAAATGACCTGAGGGGAAACGAAAATTGGTTCGAGTTATCGAGGGTTTGAGTTACCGAGGGTAAAATTACAGTAAATGTAGGACGGAAATCCAGTGGAAATCGATTATGATTCGAGTTAGCGCGAGGTTCGAGTTTGCGAGGGTTCGAGTTATCGGGAGTCGACTGTAGTTGCATTGTACCAATTGATTCCGATCCTGGGGATGACACAAAAGGAAAGGAAAGGTGCGATAAGGATAATTGTACGCTAGGTTATTATCCTGTAACAGAACAAATTGTGTCACAACCCACCAGTCCTTCACTTTCAACAGTGTTAATTATCACAAGCGACATCTGGCTTTCAACCAACCAGTAAGTTGTGTTTTAAGTAGATAAATATTAAGCGAAAATAAATAAATGCTTATAGGACTAAGTGGAGTCCGTTTTGGTCTGTAATCATAGGTATCCGATCTGTTTAATCACGAATATGATTACCGACTGAATTGGACAACACGAAATTAGGGTCACGAATTAATCATAACTTTGAAAAAAAATTGCGATATTTTAAATAAGCTTGTTCAAAACTAAAACGCAGATTTTCGCTATATGTAACAATCCCATTTAAGTGCGCACACGAATGAGAATTATGATCAATAAGTAAATGAATGAAATAATAACAAATATTTGGTGATTAAAAAAAAAAAGTTGCACATTGACTAGCGATAGTGCGAGCCTTTAATGGAAGTCAAACGAGGTTCTAGTCACCGAGAGATGGCAGCAGTGACCAACAATCATGTAACAAAGTAGTGATATGAAAGTGAACATGATCTTCGCAGTAGAATGAACAACCTAAGCTGTTAAAAAAAAAACCTGAAAAAAATTTCAGGCTTGACCGGGAATCGAACCCTTACCTAGCTTTGCGATGACAGCACCAAACCCTCTATCCATTAAGCTAATGAGGCAAGTTACAGTTAAGAATGAATACCACACTAAAGTCGGCAATGGTGGATATGCACCGATTGGACCCCAAAGTGCGCTTCATGTGGGACAATCAGCTGTGACTACTGGGTTAGTGTATGATCTTGTCTTAAGTCATTGTCATGTTAATTTAAATCTGTTTGTTTCGCACGGTTTGCCCTTGAAATTCAGAAATGTGGAAGCGGTTGTGGGAGGAAAATTGCGTATCGTTGACTCAAAGATGTCAGTGGTGGTTTGAAATGAGTTGAATCATAGAGGCAACCATATGAGATACTTCTGACGTATTTGGAAAGATTCTGTCGTTGAGACAGAGTCCTTGGTTATCGTACAGTATACAACTATCCCCC